CATGAAAATTACTGAGACTTGCTTAATAGTAATCAAGTAAGCAATTACCCTAACCTTCCTTTTTCAAAATCAAATGCTGCATGTTACTGTAATGTAGGAGGGTGTTCTGTTCTAGTTGACAAGTTCTCAATCATTAAATCTAAAGTTTAGAGATGATTTAATATTGTAATATTAAGGAATAGATAATATTTTAGATATATCCAATATGAGATAAAAGAAAATTTGACGTTTAGATAGCAATTAAAGGTATATAAGTATAACGTATCATAATTATTCTGTATAACAGGAGATAAAGTGAATTTAGCCCTTAGCATCATGTGTAATTTAAATAATCATCGTATAAAGGGTTAGAGTTAGGTTGTATAAAGAGATTTCATTAAAGCAGAATCATCCAATTTACTACTCTCGCATAATCGTCTCCAAATAAACATGAGTGGCTAAACACAATTTGTTACTTGAATTTGTACACTCCGCATTACTCGTCAGTAAAATAACCTTGATTATAAACTAATAACGTCGATAAATTCTTGTAATAGGAGGTAATTTAGCATAGGTTGGAATAAGGATGGTATAGGAACTTAATTTACATTGGTCTACAGGCAAACTGTATTCGATAAAATTCGCACATAACTTATAGAAGAATTTTATGATTTTAATACCACGCCGAAAATTCTTTCCTAATAAATGACGGCAAACCTTTAGTTTAATATTTCAATTTTTCTCTAGTTCACAACTCCACTGTTTTTATAACTAATTTAGGGAAGTGATTGAAGTATTTGATTAAATTATTGAAAAAATTAAGAATAATTAATATTTTCACTCATACTTTTTTTAGCTGATAGATTATTTATGATAGGAACAGGTATTTAGGGATCATAAAATATTTTAGATTAGCATTGTTTCTTGACCTAATGTATACTTATTCCAGTATATTTTTTTATTATTGTTCTATATATATGTTATATTGTTCTTGGTTCTCAATTTTAAACTTAACTTTATATTTCATAATCGAAATCCACTTCACGTTGAAAGAAGAAATTAGTTACTTTCATTACTGTTTGCTGAATTTAAGGATGAGAATATCTTGGCTTAACAAATATGCAGTTAAAAACAATATTGTTTTTGCACGCTGAATTGAAATATCAATTGTATAGAAAGCGGAGGATTTTTATTTTAAATTACTGTAATATTATTAAAATCTATATGATCGTAAATAAGATGCCAATCTATTCTTTTTTATTAATTTTGACAATATTTCCCGAATTTAACTTTGTAATACATTATTCGCAGTCCAGTAAGTAGCATTTACTGCAAGATTTATATTAAATTTCCAAATTGGACCTACTGGATTTATTTATTATAGCTTTTTTATCAATTTTTAACCTTAAGTTTGCTTTTCCTGGTTGTATAGTGATAATTTTTAGTAAACAGCTCTTCAAACTTGATTTAATTGTATTGTTAGAATAGAACGATATTATCTACTACTGTAAATAATGAATGTATAAGGATAAAAGAACATATTGATTCCATTATTTATGCACGACAGTTGTTAAAGCTTGGAATTTCATTCTTTTTTCTTCCACAGCAATTGCGTGAGTCTGCTGTGATACATAAACTTGATGCAATATTTCCCACTAAAAGCTAATTCCATGGCATATCTGATAAATATATTATTAGAGAGTACTTGGTAGTGAATAATACTCTTTTCATTTGGGGAAAAGTCAAATTAATAGGAAAGCGAAAGCCTAAAGGCAGTTTTCTTTAACATAGATCTTTAGCCTTTAATCCAATATCATTGTCTGGATTTGATATCATTCTAGAGCATATACTATATTTCATATATAAATAATACGACTGAATGGTTAAAAGTTCCTTTAGATTGATTAGTATAATGAAATTTTCATTTTGAAATTGTTTAATTGATATTACTGTAAAATTCTTTCAGTTTCTTTAGCATGAAAAGAAAATAAATAAAATTGAGAGCTTTGTTTTACGAATCAATTGACTTTCAATTATAAACTTGCAGTATGTCTGATTATGCTGTGGCTCTTGACTATACGTAATATGGATAAGCTATTAATGATATTAGTTGTATATGATCACTAGTATATATAACTTTATAACGAAGGCTGAAAATCTCATCAATACTATTTGTCTGAAAATGATTTTCAGTTTGGTTTACACAAGTACCACTAACATTCTGCAAAGAGCATTTTTCGTTCATATACATGAATATAAAATAGTAAAATTTATTATTCTGTCTACCATCATGACCCTAACTACTACCTTTGCTGCATATCATTGAAAAAAATAGAAATCCTACTAGTCGATAAATAATAAAAACATTTTTCCAAATTAGTTAATTCATTGCTGTAAATTATCGGTCACTATCGATGATAGTTTAACAATACTATGAGAATGCAATTGTTATCATACTTTCAACGTGATATACAATGGTGGATAATGTTGACAGTTTCGTTTTTGTCAATAGCATACAGTTTATTCGCGCTTTATCAATACAGTTGGAAACATATTGCTAGAATTTCAATACCTTTGAACTTCTGTATATTTTATTACATAATACTGATTAATAACTTATCTCGGATATTTATACTTAGGTGGCCTCATGTTTATAGCAACGCTCGTACCGATATTAATGCCAGTCTCGTGATACAAATCTTAATTAATTTAGTATTCATGCCCATAAACAGCTGTGATATCTTTCTATGACAATATGAAAATTTGAAATACCTTACAATTGTAATTATATATTTTCTTATCATAAAGGGCGGAATTAAAAAATCTCGTTTGTACTCGTTTATCCAGTGCTTTAAGTTATCCATCAGATTATTCGAGCGCGGATTTATACTGTACCTAAGTATTTTCTAAAATTTTCGATAAATAACAAGTTCATACTGTACTGCAATTGTAATGTGGTTCAATATTGTTTACCGAGCACCCTGTAATTAATCATCTACTATAATTATAAGAACTTCATAAGTAAGGTTAACAAGTATTGACCTGTATATTAAATAGTTATAATCTACATTCTTGCAATACTTTTTTACCTGCTATTGGGCTGAGTAAGGGTTGAATTATGAACAAATAGTTACATATGGTAGCCTCTAGTCATTAGTGCTATTCTAGAGTAATTGTTTATGCTTTCCTAAAAAAATTTAGACTAATTTCCGTAATAGTAAAGCATAAGATACTTATAGTACGCATCTTTAAAAGATAGTTCAGTATTATATATTCGTTACAAGTTTGCTGTTACTGTGTGCCTGAGTACTATTTACGAATTTGTAGATTTTCTTTGTGCTACGAAATTCTGCCTAGTTCCACTCCCCTAGTTTGAGTATGATTGCAAAAGTAATATTTGCAATGGTTTATCAATTATGATCGCAGAGTAGCACCTTCATGTCCCCCTTTTGTATTAGTTGTCCTTCAGTAGTCTCTATCCTGGTGAAGTCTAGTAAAAACTTTTGGATTCCACGCATTTTGTATGGATACTGTTCATGCATAATCAGAATTTAATAGATTGTCAAGTGTGTATATCGCCACGAAGGTTTTTGTTAAGAGAGTACTGATTACACTTAAAGAGAATATTGATATTGCTTTCCCTAGATAATCAGTGCAAACGAGTTCTATTGAGCACCGAGTTTCTTAATAAACTCTTGTAAGCACATTGTTGAAAGCTAACTCTTTTCGACCGATAATTAATTAGTAATTTCATTATTCATGATTAATATGTAAATTTTGATAATCTCTTTAATGTACGGATATGTAACAGTATACAATAGAAGGTTTAAGAATTGAACAATTCTCTAAATTGAGCCATATAGTTTTACTATGACATCAAGTTCTTGTAATTTGACAGAGAATCATCGAAATCTTTTCAAACTTAAGCCCAGTTCTTTATTTATTTGCTATCAAAATCTCTGTTAATATATTTATCCAATAGTACATGATATACAGCGCGTCAACAATATATCAATTAAACTGAACAAGTAGCTATAAATTTAATGGATTAAAATCAGGAATTTAAATTAAACTATTTAATTTAGCAGTTAAAAGTTTACAATAAATACGAACACAGTTAAGGCGTTAAATTATTAATATCACCAGTTTAATTAATAAATACACTAAGATTACCTGCAAATATTATTAATTCATACAAGCCGGGGCCAAAATATTACTTATTCCTTTAAGGTACATAAAGTTAAGGCGAAAGTAGCGTTGTTATTTTTCATACGAATGGTGTTGCTTGTGAATTTTTGACATCTGTTACAGTGATAGGACTCAAATCCTGTAGAGCCGTATGTTAAAATAGGGCATAGGCATATATAGTATTGTTGAATTCGAAGATGATCGCAGTTAATAGCACATAATGGTAACAAATTAAATTATCTACCCTATTGTGCCCAGTAAATATTGAAGTAGCCAAGAGACCTTCATTATCGATGATTTGCGACGTCAACTCAACAACAATTATAATGCTAGCGTAGTCATAGACGCTACATATAATATTCACGCAGGATATGTAACCTCATACTGTTACTATGCTAAACCTAAATCAAAATTTTACATTTTAAAGCTAGTCTGGGCTGCTACGACAAACACGACATTAGTTCTTACTTTTAGGCAAAAGTTCAAATAATAAACGCAAAATGCCTCGAATAAGGCAATTACTGAAAGTAAAAACTGCGTCAAGCGTAACAATTAAACAACACAAAGAAACTTTTTAGCGAAGTGGACTCAAGTTTGCACTACAATAATCTAAAATGAATATATAGAACAAACTAGTTAATATGAATAACATACAATATCGTAAAGAGTTATTTAATGTACAGCAGTTAGAAGCAATAGTATTCAGTTCTGCCGAAAACAGATCGTAATAAATACTTTGCGATACCCACAGTTTACAATTGACTTTCTAAACGATTTTCATTTCCACTAGCACGAACAGAGCGCTCGTAGCCATTTTCATCTTTTTTATCATCTTCGAATTCACCTTCTTCCAATTTCCTAGCTTGTTCACGAGCATCAGCATCATCTAATTCAGCTATTGATAGCTTATGCACAATACCAGTTCCATAAGCATCACCAAGAACATTAATAGCCGTACGAACGCGATCGAGGAACCAGTCAATAGCATAAATCAAGGTTATATCTTCAGTTGGTAAACCAACCGCAGTTAGTACCAGCAACATGGTGACCAGGCCAGCCTGGGGAATACCAGCAGCGCCAATTGAAGCCAGCGTAGCGGTTAAGCTTTAACAATGATGTAAATAAAAGTAAGGGATTTGGAGGTTCTCACAACATAACACAGCTTCGTCATTACTTATTAGTGTAAATAGCGAGACAAGTGCTAAATTAAATATTTACCTGACGGTAATAAGTTGACCAAAGTTGAGAGCGATACCATTTACTTGAGCAATGAATACCGAGGCTACGGCTTCGTATAATGCGGTGCCATCCATATTAATAGTAGCTCCAATAGGCAGAACAAAGCGAGTTACACGCTTGTCGATATGCAAATTATCTTCCAAACATTTAAATGTTACTGGTAGGGTTGCCGAACTAATAGATATTACAATAATTAGTATACATATATATGTACATATTGTAGACTTATGAGTAACGATAAATGTAGGCGCGAATAAAATGCATACCTTGATGCAGTACCGAAAGCTGTTACTAACGCTTGCAAAACACCTTTAGTGAAGACAAAAGGGTTCTTGCGGACGAATATGAAGTAGATGAGTGGCAGTGTAACCAAAGAGTGGATAAATAAACCAATTAATACTGTCGCCATATACAAACCAAGAGAGCCCATAACCTTTCCGAAGTCATCCATTTCAATAATTTTACCGGCGATTAAGAACATAATACCAATAGGAGAATACCTATGGAGTGAAATTTTTAAAGATTTCATTTTCTTTAGTAATTATTGCTGGGATATAGTAAATATTAAATTATGAGAATTATTTAAGTTTTACTTACCACATTACCAATCCGACTAATCGCATAACAACTTCATTTAATGACAAGAAGAAATTTTGAATTGGTTTACCAGCTTCTCCGATGCGGCTCATTGTAATGCCGAAGGCAATTGAGAAAACCACCAATCCCAATACATTCATACCGCTTACGTACTGGATTGATCCAATATTGGTGAATTTTGGCAAAGTGACATTAGAGATGTTTGGAGTACCAGTAACGGGTATTTCGCTAATCATAGTTGGCATAACGGTATAAGTAATTGTTGTATTTGTTGTAGCGTTATGTATCACCACTTTTTCAGCTACCCGTACGGTCTTGAAAATGGTTTTTTGCTAAATAAATTTAAATCACGTAAAGTTAGGTTAAGAGGTAAAAGCCGCCTTAAATGACTTTTCTTTGCAGCAATATTCTGATCGTGACAATTACTATATACAGGAATATGTCGTGTATCTATACAATAATTCATAAGTATGCGCGTTATTAATAGCGATGCCAAATTTTATATACTTCTCTGTGTTCGAAAAAGATACACTTATAAGGTAAATTTAAATAAAAGTTGTTTTTATTTCCGTAGTATATAAATAATATTGGTGAATTATAGAAACTTTGATTAATTCATATTGAATTTATTACACATAAATACAACAATGGAAGCATCATCACAACTGATTTTAAACTATCTAATGCAGCGCACGATAACTGTGGAACTAGATCTACGCAGTCGTTGTGTAACTACTTTTACCAATTATTTCGTATTTATAAGTATTATAGATGCTTGTAGCCTTTGTTTACTTGAAAATTATGTGATACGATAGCTACACTATCATATTTAAATTTGAAATACCTGTTGGAAGCAAGCTTGTACCAAATTTTGCGGGAACATGTTTCTAAGTTAAAATAAATCAACAAAACAGTCGGTTATTATTACAATAATAACAGAAGTTGTGATCAGCGTAGATAAATAATATAATCAACGATAGATATTACTTTAGAATGTGGCCTTATAATAATAAAACAATTGTTCCTAATAGCAGATTGTGGTAGATTTCTAATATATATCGGCCGAGATAGGGAAAGAGTGTAGACTAACAGAAGTAGTCCTTCTAATAATTGTTTGTTATGCATTAATCATATAATGCGAATATGTATCCCTAGTATAGTGAAATATTGACATTTAATCAATCACCTAAATTTACAGTTGTTACTAGCACTTGGAGATTTATATAAAGCGAATAATGTACCATTATGAAAATATTAATTACTGTAATCTATCGCGTTGATGATATTTATTGATTACATCTACAATTATTCACTAAATTGTTAGAGATGATGTTACAGGTATAATTTTCATAATTATATATTATTGATTTCATTTTTCCAGCATAAGGTTGTATGCAAAGTTGATTTTACTAATTACTATCTCAAGGTCGTGCGCTATTGAAGACTTGCTGTCGAATGGTAGTATTTTTATAAGTTGCACCAGCAGAAGTATCACAACTGATGTACTGTACAATTACCTATAGTATAACGAATCATCACTTTAGTTATGATGATGTTAAGAAATTGCTGAAATCGTAATACGTTGAATACATAAGATACTTTCAGCAAACGAGGGACAACTCTATTTCGAAGATACAATGTGTATTGCATTTCGCCTGAAGGTAAACGTATACAAATCCAAAGAGTATCATATTGTACAATGTGATACGTTGTTGGCATTACCCATATGTATTAATTAATTATTAGCCAAATAGCAAATGATAACAGAGTTTCATAAGTAACAATGTCATATTTACGTAAATGATCAATTGATCATGCTGTACTATTAGCTGTAGATTCTAAATGGACCGTTATTATTCTCATGTCTGATCCTGCTTCCATAATATGGCATAGTAATTTTTATACGGATTACTCTGGCACTGTGATGCCATCGAACAGGGTTCATTTCAAGTTGCATAGTGCACATTGATTTCACTATAAACTGATAAAAACTAACACTAACAAGTTTCTTTATTTCTTTATCCTGAGCATAAGAAAATTTAAAGGTAAATAAATAGATACTTGGTATATGTAAGATTTCTGTACACACTTTGTTCCCTCCTTTCAACTGTCAGTTTTTAGTCAACAATAAAAAGATCCTCCCGGTAAAGAGATAGGATGGGCCCTTCATCGATGTTTTTCATGGATAACATGATAATATAATGCTCATATGCTAATGTATTATAGCATCGTTTATCCGATGTCTTACGGCGCGAGTAGTGAATGTACGTTGTTGAAACAATAATAAACAATACAGTGAAATTTGCCGTAGTTAATTACCTGAGGACAGTTTCGTAAATTTATGAATACAGTAGACAGAATGAGTTGTCCGCGCCGTTTGTGTTCATTGCTACTTACCGCTATTGTTTAAAATAATAAAGATCGATTGAATGTAAAAGGAGGCGTGTACGACGGCTGATCAATCGGTCGTGGGAATGTAAATTGTTTATATTAGGATAGTGCTAGCCCATAACTAATCAATGATGTCATAAAAGTTTAACAATTCAATCATAATTGAACATACAGTACAACGTCGTCCAAGCAAACACTGACAATAGCTACCTTATAAGTAAGCACATGCGATGGTAAATATAATCGTTAGTTGCCGATATACTTGTAATACAAATGCTACTGTACACTATACTTTAAGTCTATAATACAATATATTCTAATATTGACAAAGCTACAGTTTATGTAGGTTATAAATGCCTTTCCAAATTTTGCTCATTGCTTTGATCACTTCTTTGCAAAGCTATCAAGTCATTATTGATATTAGATTATCAAGAATGTCGTCGTCAAACTAGAACGTACTTATTTGTAGCCATTGCCGTCTCTTGAAATATAATTATAATATGTCAAGTTAAAAATGCGGTAGAAACGGAAACTTATTTACGTATAGCGGGCAATTTCTTTTATAGAAAAATATTTCAATGTTCGTCATGTACGAGAGAATATTCAGTCATGATAAGGAGGCCAATGTACTGAAGTATCGTGTATGTATGCATAGGAAAATCGACAACATTAAGAGATTTTAGGGTATCATACGGAAGTAAAATCTACCGCTGCTTTTCTGCTAAGTTTCCATTTCTCTTATGGTCACTACAAAATATTCCTTGCAGAGAAATGAAATCTTCCACTTTAGGTATGTACAGTACAGTAAACTTACGATGATACCTACGCATATTACAATTGAAGCGGTATATTATGTAGCAGTCTTTAAAAATTAATAAGGTTACAATTTACTACTAGTGTTCAACGTGGTAAACTGTTTTGTCATTTGAAGAGGAATCTTGAAGCATTTTTAACTTGATTTTAACGATAACGAATTAACGAATTTTAAACGTACAATGCTGTTAATTAGATCAAACAATTCCAGTAGTAAACAAAGCAAAATACTGCTAGACATAAGGGTATACCATCTTTTGTGCCCCTATCAACCGTCTGTAAGTGCAGTACTATTAATTTAAAATAAAAGATGCATGCATATATTGTTACGCTTTTGTTTTCTATTACTACAGTAGACTTTCTAATAACGTGAAATCAAAACTATACAATAGTGAATTGGTCATTGACTGTGCCTAGTACGGCATAGTACGTCCATATTGTAGCATGTGTAGGTGTTAGTAAGTAGTCTATCGAACTTTTTTGATCAAGTAAAATAACAACCAGGGGATGTTTAAAAATTGAAATAAATGGCGGCAATATCAAACAAATTATTCGAGATTTGGTGAAGTCCGTAGTTCGAAATTAGTTTTCGTTTTTAAACTGTAACAAGAATTCAAAATTCTTTTCTACACAGAGGCCAAATATCTGTACTATAGTACAACATTGTATGATCGCAATGCTGACCACCATATGGTATCAAGTAGTATATAGATATAAGTTTATAGCAGCGTTGACATTATTAGGTACTTGTAAGAGAAATATTTTGAAAATAACTGTACTGTCAATTTCATATTATTGCACAGTGTGGATCAGCAGGTGAAGTAATGGCTGGCACAAAGAGTTGCGTGATTCTTCGTATTGGATAATGATAACAGCGTACAGATGCTATGCGTAGGCGTTTAAACAATAACAATCATTTGGCAACGCTGCAATGTTGGAAAGAAGACGAGATGCGCTCGTCTACTTTATTTCAAAGGTTAATAAATGCAGTAGAGCATTGAACTTCAAAAGGTTGTCTATAAATTAGCAGCTATATTTTGTTCCCTCTCTGTTGTACAAGTATGAGAGTATCGCTGTGTAACATTGAACTAAATTGACTACTGCTGGTTGTGTGTAATATGTGAAAGAGAGATAATTTTCCTTTTCGAGTAGTGCACCTATTATATGCGTATATCCAATGATTTAGGCTTAAGTCAATGGCTAACACCAAAGAGACTCCCTCCAAATTGGAAAATTAAATTATAGATTTAAGCTCGTAAATGTTACGATACTGTCAAACTTTACGTTTTATAGAGATGCGTTATAAGGGTGCATGACAGAGTAAGTGAACGAATTGAGAACATTAAATATTTCAATTAATTTCGATTGTTGTCATGGCCATTACGCTTACGATTGAACAATAAAGACGATAAAATAGTTCTTAAAATGCTTATAAGAAATATTTTCTTCCGTGTAAATTTCGATGTAGAAATGGTATCAGTTAACACTGTTTAAACTCACTTTTCCTAGTTTCGGCGCTTTGCAGAATAGAACAGTACATCTAACAAATATTTCATTCTACTCGTATGTAATTCCGCTCGAACGACTTTCAAGGGTATGTGGGGGGAGTTGACTTTTCTATCGAATAGACAGAACAATTAAAGCATTTTTACAAATAGATTCTTTACTGTGCTGCGGAGGAGGCACAGTTAATGGTATAGCAGTACTTCTTTGACTCAGCTTCATGGGAAACAAACTTTTAGAACAACATCTAAATATTCACTTATCCATGAGCCTTATCACCGTGGTTCTGTTAAATAAACATCGAAAGCTCACGACAAATACCTGCAATGATCACCCGTGAGTTGTACAGTACAGTACAGTACAGTACTTACCCCATAGTCGTTTCCGACACAACATTACTGTATTTACAGTACATCGCGCTATCGTATGCTACCTAAATTAGCAATTTAGCGGAATTTTTATCAAAACAAGAATGGATAAAATAGCATATCGTACGGACACAGTTCAGTTAATTGATAGCGCATTTTTATACAAAGCTATACAGCCCACCCTGTAATTCCCGCTATGCCTGTGCATTCCGAACATTATTTCATTAACACCAAACGAAAAATACAACATGTACACTACATTGCAACGAAATCACATAATGTATAATTAAAAAGTGTCGGCTAACAAATACTAAAGCGGAATTATTATTTAAAACGTAAACCTTGCACAAAATGCGAAAGAGCGAAGGGCCATTGAATGGGGTGAAGGGCGATAAAGGTGCGATAAGGAAATTTACGTACTGTATTGTGCAACATCGGTAATTATAATTGATATCCTGCAGATGAGACCGGAGGGTTTCGTAATTATGGAGTAAAAAGAAATCACCACCCTTCATACAATTTTCTTTCCACCTCCTTATGATACAGTGTGTATCATAATTGTACCGTGCATTTATTCAATCAGGTAATTTACTACAGTTGATTTCTACTGTAATCTCCCTCGGTTGAAGTTAAATTAAAACGATATGATAACATTGGAATATTCATGTTTTCTGTAAAGCTGGAGCGAAGGGAAACTATGATTACAGTACTGCGTACGAGTATAGATAGTATAAGAGATGAAACGCCTATGAACTATGTTGATTGAACAGCATGCTGTCCCAATGCAATACACATTGAGAAAAATAATCAATACATGTTTTTACCTAATCAAATCCAGGAAAGCATCTAAAGTATTGACGTGTTGTTGCCTGTTGCTGGATAAACCTTCCTTCGTTTTGCCAGGATGAATAACAACGACAAGTACCAGACCCAAGATGACAGCTAAGATGGTCGTACCAAAGTAGTAAAAGATAGCACGGCGACCCATTTTACCGGAAGAGCCAGCATCCAGTGAAGCCAGACCAGCAATTAAGCTGGAAACAATCAAAGGTAGAATCAACATTTTAAGCATTCTCATTAAAATATCACCAGGGAAATTAATCAATTTGATTGCAGTTTGGCTTGGATGTGCCGTACGAACAAGGAAGCCAATTAAAACGCCAAGGAAGACACCAAGAATGGTTAAACTCAATAAAAGATTGTCTCCTCCCAAAACTCTTTTGGAGGTTTTCATGACCTTCTTAGGTCGAAATTTTCTTGGTTTTTTAACGATAGCATTATCGGCTACTTGATCAACTTCTGATGAAGGCATTTTGGTATCGTAGAAAGCGATTCAGGTATCCACTACGAAGGAAAAACTGTTCAGTCGTATCGAAATCAATGCAGGGAAATTTTCGCGGCAACGCTGTTTTGTTAGCAAAGAGACCACTCTCTCCTGAAATGAAACAGCAGCAAACTGTGAAGTGTAAACGTCAATGATCCACGAGGAAGTTGCACTGACTCTAAATGCGGCACGCAGCTTCCTTTATACCGTTTCAACCTTTGTACTGTACTGTACTGTACTATGCTTTGCTTTGTTTATTTATTTATTCCAATTAGTGAGTACGGCGGTTAATGTTTATAATTGCTACTTGTGTATAGTACAGTGTACAGTACTTTATGTTTTGATTTTCTTTTGTTTGCTGGCAAGCATACAGTACAGTGTACTGTACTGTATGTACTGTACACCGTACGATACTAAGGACGGTCAGTATACTGTACTGTACAAGTACAGCAATAATAACCGTTCAGTACAAACTGCGGTATCAATCCCAATGACCAATCAAATCCAATCCAATCCATATGCTCCACTATCTTCCACGCAGTCCAAGCATTTCTGAAAAGTTTGAAGGGCAGATTACAGTACTGTACTGTACACTGTACAGTATTGTACTGTACTACCCACACATTTTCTGAAGTTTTAACGGCAAATTACAGTACAGTATAGTGTCAAGACTATGTGCCACTTTCATAAATCTCGCCGGTAGCCGATAGTGTTTTGCAACTTCCTTCGGATCAAGTGCATTAGATACGTATCGCAATTATTGCAATTGCATCTTCAGTAGTAGCGTACAATCTGTTGATTACAGCAAATAATGAGTTTACTTGTTCCCTGTACTGTACAGTACTGTACTGATATTGAGCACATGTCTGCGTCCGTTGTTGAACTCTATGGCTGCGACAGTACTGTACTGTACTGTACATAGGACTGTCTGTACAGACGCGTCACTTTCTCGGACAGACGGATTCTACTGTTGTTGCAGTTTTTTTTAGCGTCACTACAGTAGGCTCACCTGAAATGCTGGTAGCGCCAAACTTAGTTACTTCATTACCATGAATTAGAATGTTACATACTGTACAATAAATAGGTAATACGGTATAATAATCCAATAACAATTTAAATTCAATAGCCTAATTTATTAACCGTGAGAATCTAAATTAATTACTTTTTGTATTATTAACTTCTGGTCAGATAACTTTTCAAATTTAATAGCAAAAAAAAACTTTGGATGCCCAGCGCTACCGCACACATTTCAGGTCAGTTTTAGTGACGCTAAAACTGAACATGGAGCCTAGTCGGTCTGTCTGAGAAAGGGATTAACTCTATGATCATGACACATCTGTACTACAGTACTACAGTACAGTATACAGTACAGTACTAAAGGGTGTCTCATAAGTCTTTCCCACCGTTTAAAACTACAGTAAATGACATTATAATTTCAAGTCCTTATTAGATAAATTTGGTATAATTTTCGTATGGTCTCCTGTACAGTACAGTACTGTACTACAGAATACTGTACAGGAGTTCGGGTTAGTGTTCGGGTACGAAGATTTTTAGTACAGTACACCGCAAAGTACCGTCAGTCAGTACGGTTTGTCGCTGACAGTAACAGTATAGTACAACCAAGGGTTTGTAAAACGTGAGTGACAAAATGTTATGATACACACTGTACTGTACACTGAGTGTACAGTCCTTGTCGTCGGTGAGCTCTGCCCAATATTGTTATACTGTAATGTACTGTACTTAGGAAAGTAGGTTTTATAATAATGAGAGGCCCGGTAATCATAAGTAAAGTAAGATAGTGGCGCCAGGACTAAGTGGATTCGGTTTAGGAGGGAGGCGAGTCTGCACTTTGAGATCTAGCTGCGTATAGTTACGTGGTATACTGTAAACTAGAAGTTGTAAGTTTATTACTGTAATAATAATATTTAACAATAGTTTCAAGTTATAAAGTAAGCTGCAATAGAAATAATACTGTACTTTATTACATGCAATAGCATTGACGTTAAAATCGACGACTCTCATTACAAACTGAGGATTTGTAAAGCATCATGGCTGGATTGCGATTGCAGGCAATGCAGTAGCTGCATGCCGCAGATCATGCGGCCTATGGGATATCACGTGTATTATGCAAATATTGATATAAAAGGTTATTTTATTCGAGTTTATACTTACACTGCTTTGTAGAACTGGAAGAAGGTACAGTACTGTACAGTACAGTATAGTGTACAGTACATGTCCATTGGTACTGTGCAGCACGCTTTCCAAAAAATAGTAAACAGTGTGGTCTAGCAAACACTGCATTTCGGGAACGTCTGTTATTATCATTTATGGCTAGGGCGTGATCTTATGTACTATGGCCATTGTACTATTGCATGGTATGATTGCACTTTGTACTTTGTACACTTTAGATCGAACAAAGCAAGATAGATAGATACAGTACTGTACAAGTGTACATTCGTCTACCGTACACCCGGATTGTTGATTTTTATACCAAGGCTCAAGTCTCCAGTTTTGATTGGTAGTGTACTTATGTGCAACCGTTGAGCGTTACGATGATGTAAGGGGCTGCCAAACACAATTACTGTAGTCCTGGTACAATATTAATACAGCACTGAGTGTACAGTACATCTACTGTATAAACTTTACTTTCGTCCATTAAAAGTTTACAATAGTTTTTATCTCTGTAGTTTCATCTACCATTCTTCCTAACTATTCGAATAACATCTTTCTATTCTCCTAAACTAGTGAATCTGCCGTTCAAATTGGAACGGCCAGTAAAAATACCCGTATGCCAGTACTTTAAACTAGCTTTAAGTACGGCACAGTAAAATGCCTCCTATAAGTACAGTACAGTTTCCTTACCCTCCAGAAGGAAAAAAAAAAAATACATCTTTTATTACAGTACAGTGCATGTCACAATGGATCTCTCTGCTGTTCTAGAGGCCCATGGTGTCATACCGTACAAATGATTTTCTTCTAGTGGTCCATAACTGTACGTACTGTAATTTAAAAATAATAATAATGTCGTCATCTTGAATTTTGCACCATAACTACAGAACATTTCTCTACCACGCCATTTCTCCTAAACTGTTCACAACGCGCTACCGTTTATTTATTCTATTGTTATTTTTTGCGCGGGAATGATACAGTACTGTACTGCATCAATTGATCTACTGTACAGTACACTGTACAGTACAGTACTGTACTGTACTGTAGTAGTCCATGAGTACTGTACCGTATTATGATACTAATCATAAAAACAAAGAGAAAATTCTTTTATACTGTACTATACTGTACAGTACAAAGCCGCTCGCTCAAACTCCGTTAACGCCGATGATTTCAATCATTCCACAACTTTAACTGAAACTCATGCCTACAATAAAATAATAATAATAATTATCGCATTGATCTGCTACTCTACCAGCTGTAAACACGGCTTTTTACTTTGCAGCAACAAGACAGCATATTGAATACAGGATGACTGCTAAAATGACTAAAAACAGAAATAAGGAAATAAAAGAGAAGCGCTGAAGTGCAGCTGATGGTACCATAGTCGTAGAGGTAATAAATAATAATAATAATAATAATGATGATAATAATAACAATAATAATATAGTATTTTAAAGTAATACTGTAGTTTAACAATAATAATGTACTTCTTAGCCTTCGATTAGGAATAATTAAGAGCTTATATTTTATTAAAGGACACTGGCCATGATTAGTGAATCATGTATAAACCTAGTCTTGAAATTTCTCAAAGAGTGACTGAAAAGCATGGCACGCCAGTGTTCGTGACAGACTCCGGTATTCTGCATCGTAAAGTGCAAATTCTTAAAGATGCAACCGGTAAAAATACCAAGGTCTATTATGCTTTGAAAGCAAATTACAATCCTCATATCATTAGAGAGCTCAAGGCAGCAGGCATTGACGGTATCGATGCAGTAGCACCCTTTGAGATAAAACTAGCTAAACAGTGTGGCTTTAAAAGCCAACAAATTATCTTTACTGGTAATAATTCTGATGATCGAGAACTAGCAGAGGTACACGCGGAAGGTGTCATACCGAATATAGGGTCCATTTCCGAATTAGAACGTTTTGGGGCTGTATTCAATGGAGCAGAAGTATCGATTAGGTTCAATCCCGGTATCGGCGATGGTGAGACCAAAATGGTGATAACAGGTGGTAAAGAATCTAAATTTGGTATCTTATTGGAGGAGATCGAGCAAGCCAAGCAAATTATACGAAAATATCACCTTCAATTAATTGGGGTACATTGTCACATAGGCTCCGGCTTCTATGCAGCTGAAGTATTTGAGAGTGCAGTGTATGAAATTTTTAAAATAGCTGCAAATTTTAAAAGTTTAAAATTTATAGATCTTGGCGGGGGCTTTGGAGTAATGTATGAACCTGACTCTAAACCAGTCCGCATAAAGCAATTCTTTAATTGTGTTGAGAAGTACGTAAAGGAATTTACCTTATCTAATGGGAGAGAAATCAATATGATAGTGGAACCTGGAAAGTTTTTAGTAGCGGAATCAACTTGCTTATTGGTTAAGGTGACTAATATTAAGAAAAACGGAGAAATAATTTTTATTGGCACCGATTCGGGGATGAACCACATTATTAGACCTGCCTTGTATGGCTCTTATCATCATATTATTAATATTTCCAATCCGGATGCACCCTTGCGCAGAGTCACGGTTGTAGGAAATATTTGCGAATCTTCAGATACATTTGGTGAGAATCTCGAAATTGCTTTACCACAAGAGGGAGATCTGTTAGCAATCTTAACTGCTGGTGCGTACTGCGCTTCAATGAGTTCCTTGTATAACTTGCGCCCTTATGCAGCTGAGGTTTTAGTGAATGGGCAGGAAATCCGTCTAATTCGTGAGCGCTTAGATTACCGGAAAATCATGCAGGGACTAGGATTCACAATGTAAAAACCTATTTAACATCTCTGGGTGAGCATTTACGCAGGTTATCATGGTTGCACCTTATCGTATGCATGTAGACCAAATTTTTCGAAAATAGTAAATATAGTATTTTTAAAAAGAGAGATCTGCTAGGAAGAGTGGACAGTCATTCGTTAATATTTCCTGTTTATGTTCTATCTATTTTATTTGCTTTATACTGTTTGCAGCTACAGATTACTTGTTGAAAGGCAGTACTTGAACGGGTGCTACTTGAAATTACACACGGATTCCGTATTATAACTTCATATACTTGCAGTCAAATGACATGGATGCACTCGAAATTGAAAAGACATGATGTAGCTATTGCAAGTAAAAAATAGTAAATTGTTGATTGCTGATATGATATGCACATGCTGCAAAAACGTCTGATAATAAGGTATTAACCAAACAGGGTACCTTGCCTTGCGATAATACGTCCCTTTATATTTCTGTAATACATACAGTATAAGCGATATTATGTGTGTAAATAGGTATGAAGCTCATTTGCGATGCCTTTTTCATGTTACGGCAATTGCTATGATATTGTTCTCTTGGGATAACGCTCGGGTATTTTTCAATATATACGTGTGTTGATTTTTAACTATCAAGGTACAAGTTGCTTATGTCCATGTATCTGTGCATATTTATACTGTATATTCGTACTTCGATTACCCTGCAATTCGATTATAAGGCTCTACAATATTATTCTTATACTGTATAGCTTATACTCGATTGGTTTGCTTACGTTTGCTTACGGGATAAGCCTAATAATTCTTCTATCCCTAATATATAACATACACAGAAATCTTGCATACGCGTATGTGTATCAAGATAGATAAATGCTGGCGCTCTTACGGTAAATGTTCGATACAACCTAGAGCTACCGGTTCGTATAAATACGTGGTAGTACCATATAATAATTATAATTTTAATAAGTTAATATTATAATTAGAGTCGCATCATAGGTGTATATTAGGACTCTGGATATATCATTTTTATAGTAGTAACGTCTAATACATATGGATCGATCCTTCACTGTACTGATGAAAAGAATTTAATAAATTTACTATTAAGTGCAGACTTTATCCATTGATAATTTAATTCACTTGGGGGATTTTATCATGACAGACTTGAAATTGATGAGATATAGTTTTTGGAATAGCTCTGAATTTAATTTACTGTTAGCTGCAATGCCAGATACATGAATTACGCCTTACACAACTAAGCTAACCAAGTCATTATCGAAGTTACTGGTAGTTATTGGGATATTCAAAATTTATTAATTCTCAATCTAGAACAGATTTGGTGTAGATTTATTCGCATATTACTTTAAATGTCACATCATAAATAATGTATATGCTACTAAATGGCATCAACTTCCCTGTTAGTTTCTTAAGCGCTTCAAATCGCATGACTGCAGCTGATTAGTAACAGGTATTTACCAAATTATGAAGATTCTGAGCAAGACGGAAAGTTTTATGCAAAATTAACGATAATTGCGTACAGAATTTAACCATGCATAATGTCTATTTTACGTGTAGTCCTAGATATAGAATTATTTACGGTGAGGACTCAGTTAAGTTATGAAACTATTCGCATGGGCTCTTATGTATGGAGTGTAGCCATCTTACTGTATCAATTTCATGAAATGAAGAAAGCAATACTACATTGTCTTCGTAAATATCGGCTTGAATATCGTTAGAAACTTTACGCATTACTACTTGAATTTAATAGTTTGATTTATTAGACTTGACTTCACACTTAAAAGTGAAATTTAGTACGATACATAGCTGGTATAAATATCTGCTAGAAATTAAAGCAATTATTACAAGTTGATGAATGATTGAAATGTGTTATTAATGCAATAAGCTGACTACTAAATTTATTATATATCAGTATGCTCCTGGTAGAATTAGATACAAGAATGTATTGTATTTGAGCTACTACAATAGTCACAATACATTAAGTACTATTACTTTCATAAGGTAGCTGCGTAATACATATCGAAAATTATGGCATTTGTAATGGGAGCATACGAGTATATTAATTAATACACACATACAATAATAAAACCTAACAGGCGGCCGCTCTGCGTGTCGCCTTCTCGAAGCTTCATAAACAGTCGATGTACTTCTCCTTTAATACTGTATACAAAATTGTCTGGGGATTTGCTGTACGATTATCGTATATTTAAGAAAATGGTGGATGCAATATAAACTTACCAGACGGTGTTTCTCTGAAATACGTACGTGCAAATAAAATTTTAAGATAGCTCGAGCCAATAAAGGCAGTTGCTGTATTTGGAATTGAATGTAACAAATATCTCAACACGCAAAGCAAATAACAATCGAAGAAGCATACAAGATAAAGGTAGCTTATGAGGATACTCTAATATTTATGGTAAATGTTTATGTAGCTAAACATCACAAACTTATGACAAACAGTACGTATGAAGATAAACTACAAAATTACATGGTAGGCTTACGTTCAGTTAGTGGATCCCATGTTAAAGTGAGAATAACTGAACATATAATTATAGTTGGCTTTCGCTAGAATTCGAGGCTTTTTTTGTCTCCAACGCTATATCCTCAGTTTCTTTTTGTTCTGTAAAATTACCTTCTTCTATAGCTTTCGCCTCTTCACGTGCATCTGCATCCGCCAATTCTGATTTTGATAAGTGATAAACGATACCAGTGCCATAGGCATCACCAAGAACGTTTACGGCTGTGCGAATTCGATCAAGAAACCAATCGATTGCCATAATCAGTGAAACATCTTCTGCTGGCAGGCCTACCGCTGTTAAAACTAGTAATATAGTGACTGTTCCAGCTTGTGGTATACCAGCAGCACCAATTGCAGCTAGAGTAGCCGTTAAACTGTAACATAATAGCAAATTTAATGGATAAATCAGAAAAATTTGGAAAATTAAAATTTATTTATTATCTGATTATTCATTGATGCCAATGTCATACTTATAGTTCTGTCTTACCTCACTGTTATGAGTTGTCCAAAATTAAGGGTAATTCCATTTACTTGAGCAATAAATACTGAAGCAACAGCTTCATAAAGGGCTGTACCATCCATATTAACTGTGGCACCAATTGGAAGTACAAATCGTGTAACTCGTTTGTCAACGTTTAGATTGTTTTCTAAGCATCTGAAGGTCACTGGAAGCGTCGCTGAACTGTCACAGAAATAATATGAATTACAAAAATAAAAAGTTAACAGGATTGGCGAATTTTATTTTAAACTATACCTGGAAGCAGTACCAAATGCAGTTACTAAAGCCTGTAGGACACCTTTCATGTATATGAAGGGATTTTTACGAACGACAGCAAAGTAAATTGCAGGTAGTGTAACCATCGAATGTATTAACAATCCCAGTATAACAGTGACCATATATAAGCCAAGAGAGCCCATAACTTTACCAAAATCATCCATCTTAATTATTTGTCCCGCTATTAAAAACATGATACCAACAGGAGAATACCTGATCGAGTAGGAAAGTCAAAACTTTATTAAAAATATAGGCACCTAGCACTTATTACCAAAACTGAATTTTTTCGTAAGGTTTTCTTACCACATAACGATTCCTACTAATTTCATAACGACTTCATTCAGGGACAAGAAAAACCGCTTTATGGGTTCTCCTCCTTCTCCAATATTGCTCATAGTAATACCAAACGCGATTGAAAATACTACCAAACCCAGAACATTCATACCGTCTACAAAGTGTTCTTCACCAACGTGCTCAAATTTAGCCACGGTTATGTTTTTAGTAATATTTGAACTATCGGAGTTGATCGAAATCTCGCTAATCATTGTTGGCAAAACTGTGACCCTTTGCGTTGCATTAGTGATGTTATCATGTGTTATAACAGCAACCGGATGCCTAACTTCCTTGTACACAGTTTTTTGCTACAAAGGGATGATTGGGTGAGAATGCTTAATGTTTATTCAATAATCATAGTACATAAAAAAACTGCATTTAATGCTGTCACTAATAAGGAAAGTGTAGCGTCTGCGTTAAAAGACTTTAAAGAAATTTGAAATTGATAGTATCATAAAAGGTACAAAACCTGATATTGTACTCGGTTTAATTATAATTATCAACGTACGAGTAGAGTAAGGGTATAAATGCATAAAATTTTCCTTACCGTTTCAAAACACGCTTGTATTAAGTTTGAAGGGAACATATTTCTAAATTTTAAGAAATTAAGAAATATAGTGAATTATATATTGGTTTGGCTGTAGTTTACGGTAAATATAAATGTTTTTGTGAGTTCGTTGCATGGCTGCTGCTTACAAATTCATCAATACAGTATACTCTACACGCAAGATATATGGAACACTTGCTTTTAACACATTTACTTGATATCATAAAATAACTTCTAATGTGGCATTTTCTATATGTAATCTAAATAGTATGCCTTAGAAATGCTTCTAATTTTAAGGATATTTAAGTCTGGTAAATCGATACAAAGTTATAGCTTAACAGTTAGCGTACAAGTAGCAGCTGTTTAACAGCTGCTAATTTTGTTTTAATACGATAGTACAGCAGTGTATTGTAATCTGCATTCTGTGCTTATATGTATACGCGTATTTTATTTTAAAATGTACGCGTAACTGTTACTTAATAGCTTAGATTTTTAAAGTAAACATAAAATCTGAACCTGATTTTCTGATTTTATGACTGAATATTAATAAATACTTTGCATAAATTAGCAAACATAATATCACGATAATTTATGGAGATAATTAATTGCATCTAATCATTCAACATAATATTGAAGGCCAGACAGGCTATACTAAAATTATCCCAGATTACGATACTCGTACCACGTTATAAGATGCGATATCTCGGATTGTAGTTCTTGAAGAAAAGTCTAGTAGCAGATTTGCTAGGTTATCCGTTTTAATCATCTGAATAATGAATAATGATATTGCGGCTCATAAAATGCGCGACTAAGTGGTAACTATATTGATTGCATAGAAGGGTAACATTCATTATTCAACTTCTGCTAGGAGAGAACTAATAATGGCATACGGAATTATATGATATACTAACAGTTATTACTGACAGTATTGTAAAGTATGACACTTGTAACGCATAGGGAGGTAATTTAAATTGCGCATAAGCAATTCTCAAATTTTCAGCATCAAGAAATACTTTAGCCTACTTGTTCATCATAAGGTAAGGCCATCATTACTAGATCATAAGTATTTATGTAACGATATGGTTAATGGCAAGCACAATTTGTATATTATTTTAGAGATGCCAGATGTATACTTGGCTACAAAAGTTTGGTTCCATTACAGGCATTACTTGTTACTGACTCTAAATCGTTTTTTTTATTACTTTCTAACTTTACAGTATCAATTCAAATTCATAAAAAGAATAAAGCTAACCTTATAAGATCAAGAAAGGCATCTAAGGTGTTGATATGTTCTTGCTTTTCACTGGATAAGCCTGCTTTAGTTTTACCAGGATGGATAACTACAACAAGCACTAGACCTAAAACTACTGCTAAAACTGTCGTTCCAAAGTAGTAAAGAATAGCTCGACGGCCCATTTTGCCTGATGCACCCGCGTCTAGGGAAGCTAAACCAGCTATAAGACTGGAGACGATTAATGGTAAAATCAACATTTTTAACATTCTGATAAGAAGATCTCCAGGAAAATTAACTAGCTTTATGGCTACTTCGCCCGGATGAGCCATTCGAACTAGAAAACCGATTAAAACGCCAACTAAGACACCAATGATAGTCAGTGTTAACAGAAGGTTTTCACCGGCTAATGCTTTCTTGGATTTCTTCAACGCCTTTCTGGGTCGAAACTTTCTTTTTTTGGCGATTTCTACTTGATTATCGCTGTCTGTAGACATCTTGAAGGTATCGATTTGTTGTGTCTTCTGGTTAATACTAAAACTATTCGCGCTTGGTGTAGATGCGATTAGCACGTAGGTGAAAGAAATTATAATGAATTAATTCTTAACTGCGCCGTGTATTTATTTATAATCTTCTAGCTTCTTAAATCGATTTATTAGACTAGAGGCGTAGGCGTGGAATTTTGTGCGTGGGGTCACGCTTTAATAAACTATATTTGAAGATCATCTATTTTGATCAAAGAGTGAAATGCACGCAATGTTGATTCCATAGGTCAATCTTTGGGTCAAAAGTAAACTTGTTGTAAAGTATACATATGCTTTGAGGGCGTATACATATGGTACAAAAGCGTACGGAGAAGATTGCCGTTGATTGCATCGCTATAGTTTAGAACGATTGGGGTCACAGCATGCTGATAAATTTATCGGACTCACATTAAATGTCTTGCATAACATTTCTTGCATGAAATTAGAAAATTTATGCTTGGTCAAAAGCGATAATATAAATAGTAAGATTGTAAGTAATCTTTCTATACTATTCTTATAGTAAACTCTGAATTATGGAATAAATCGAATCGTTAAGAGTATACCTGTAGCCTACCTTAGAATGTTTGCTCTAACTGCTTCATATCGTATGTTATGCACAGTCAAATTAATGACATTTATTGATGAATTTGATCAAGACTCAATTATTTACATTTGGCCATTAGTATTACGAATTGAGACAAGAAGGCGTATGTTCTACGATATTGATTTTTGGGCAATCGATTACATTGAATGCACTCCTACGGTAGCTTACTGTACAGTAACATGTATCTTTTACGCTAGAATGATGCCCAAATCCTAGCATAGTACATAAAGTTCTATAATATTCTACTTTGTACATTGAAAGCATAACTAAATGAAGATTCATGAAGTTATATAAATTGTTTTGATTGTGATCATAGCTCAAGCAAACGGCAGCAACGTACTACTGTATGCTATCACATCATAATTCGTGGAATACTAATACAAATAATCGCTGACGATGGTAGCGCCGTCGACTATCTTATGTTTATTATTAAGAGGGAATGTAAATAATATTATTAAAGCGCATTGTTGATTAGAAAGGAAGTTCTAGTGTCCGCTTATTATTCGCATAAGATTACAATAACAAGATTAAGTAATGAAATTATATAGCAGCATGATTTGTAATAGAGTTTTTTAGAAGAAAGGTATTGAAAGAACGGTTGAGGACTGAAGGTAGATTTGAATTTATTAGATCGTTTGTATGAACTTCTAGCTTTCTAAGTAGGTTACAGAATTAGTTACTGAATGGATAGAACTCGTAAAAAATCGTTCGTTTTACAAAGTTTAAAATGGAGATATTTATCGGGAGAAGCATTGTTATGATGATTTGTTATGTTGATATTGGCTGATTTTACTAACATATAACACTGTTGTACTGTACATTGTACAGTCAGTATACACTATATATATTTCAAAGTTTTATCAGTTTCACTGGCAACATATACGTAAATGGTCTCTTATGCTAGCTTAAAATATTGTTCAGATTCCATTAATGTTTAGGATTAAGCTAAGGGGTTAAAGAGCATCATTACGTTTGATTTTGTTATTTTTAATATTTCATGAATGAATTACTATACTTACATAAACCATTTGCATACTGCTTTAAATAGCACTATGGAATCTTTGAAGACATAAAGTGACTTACGATAGGCGTCCATCGATAATTATTCAAAAAAGCAAAAATTTGCTTTGGAAATGTGAGAGTAAGGCTATATACTTATAAACGATTACAGAATTGCGGGCAATAAGAATTGTAAAGTTATCTTTACTCAATGTGTAATAGCGGTATGCAAAGAAACAGAGCGTAGACATTCATTCTAAACCCTGTAATATGAATGGGAGAAGGAAAGTGATTGTCACACATAGCTTAGTTAGTGTTGGTATCCTATCTGGGAGAAGATTATAAAACTATTCACTAAAGTCAAAGTCTCATATTTGAAATAAAGAATTACAATTTGGTGCTTATTTAATTTTATGATGATCATTACTATGATTTGAGATCGCGCAGATGATACTAATACTACATCTAGAAGATGTTGTTAAAGCATACCACAAAAAGACTTTGGAGTGTGCAATACGTATATTTTATTATTACTAATAAGGGCTATGTTTATACTCATTGCAAAATAAAAATGTTGATAATTTGGAATTAGTGGACCATGATCTATAGTGTTAAAATCAGCTTTATAAATAAATACCATCAAGTGGCAAACAAACCTGAACTTATCAATCTTAACTTCAATTTAATTGCCGTATATTCGCTTGCTTACTATCCGATCTACCTCATCTGGCAGAGCTATGTTACCATAAAATTGTGCTCTACGTGCATATTATTCTTGTGCGATATCTGACTTTTTTGCAAATTTTAAATCTGAAAGTCGTAACTTTACAGTTAGTAATAGATCCCAACATAAAGTAAGAAACACTATCCGTTACAAATCGGTTGTCTGATCATGATCATTGATATAGAGATCTATAAAGCGAGAATGCATGCCAGTATATATATATATGTTTACAATGAAATATGATTGGCAAAGTGTGATATGTGCACTTTAATTGTGCAGTAACACTGATCATGTAAAATAGATGAGGATTATGATAATTATATGTGAAGCACTGCAGAGTGTAAAGTAGTTGCAGAGTATACGTACTGCAGTACGATGGCTTAAGTGTAAGACTGTTAAATAGTATTGCTTTTGCTGTAACACTTGTAGATGTTACATAGCTATCTCGGAATATCGATCTCGATCCTGTCGTGTGTTTTTGCAATAAATCTTATCCTGAATCATCTGTATATCGTGTTGATCGTTATCCTGCCTAGTCTGGACCTACCGATATGACCTCATGCATTACACAAAGTACACTTATGAGCCTGGATAGTTTAAATAAAGTAATAAGTAATAATAATAGTAATATGTAAACAAATGCATGTTGGCTGCTGATTGACGATTAATAGTATGACTTTATATACGTTATTACTCTTTTTTATGTACGCAAAGAAATTCATGAAGATGTTGGAATGTTTACATGCAGCTAACGAAAAAATTATACATTGGGCTACAGCATAGTCTGTTCTAGTTAATTTATGTGGGAATACAGGTACAGTAGACATATTAGAATATTTCGTCAGCATTCAGTTGATGAAACTGACAGTGAGTAAGGATTGAACATCTAACATTACATACTAGTACTAGATTTGTAAAGTAGGCAGAAAGATCAATCAGTCCGTGGTTGCACTGTATAGCCTATAAAAACTGTAATTGCTGCATTGAAATTGGTTCTCCAAATTAGTGAATTAAATGTGGGTCAAGGAGTCCCCCATCTGAGTCAAAAACTCAAACTGTAATGCCGGCCAGTTTTCGTTGTAATAGGCAATACTACAGAGACAGACCTGTGCAAAAGATGGACAACACAATAATGTAGCACTGTACTAGAGTTGACAGGCATGTACCTCTCTATACTGCACCTTAAAACTACAGTACGTCGTTCAACAGAAAACTTTTATGCGTATTCTGTCAGAATGGAAGAGCCCAACTACTTTATATAGCGAGGTTTCAGCTCCTGGTAGCGTATCCAAATGTAGTCGTAATACGCACCCTAGTACTTTTACTGTACAGTACAGCATAGTACATGCAATATCGGTAGAATACCTTGCTATTTCCCTTCTTCGTTATCGAGCTGTCGCTGATACTTTTAACTTTTACATTATTATTATCGCTGTCGACCAATAGAACTTTATCTGATTATCACGTATTGCAATAATTATTGTGAATAAGGCCCATTATAACGCTCGAGTTCAAGTTGTGAAGAAAGTACTAGAGCCTATAGGCAGACTAGCACGATCTGCTGTTAAATTTCAATTGATTGAATTTATTTCCAATAAAATGGGAGTCCATTGTACAGTGTACAGTGTACAGTACAGTACTGCATTGGGGACTGTTCTCATACTGTACACTGTACAGTATGAGAAGTGCCCGCGCGCCGAAAGCGATGCACAGTACAGTACAGTACAGTACTATTTTTACAGTGTACAGTACTGTAAATTTTAAAAATTGATTGTACTGTAGCTTCGCGGTAGCGAGCACTGGTACCGTGTATTTACAGTACTGTACAGTATAGTATTGCTTTTCTCTTACGGGGTAACCCTTTAAGAAGCAACATCCATCGAGCTAAACAGTTCGATTTTTGGCCTGCATTTATTTAGCCTTGAATGCTTATCCTATAAACTGTATTGTTTTGCATACGGCAACAACAAGTCGAAGAGCAACTGCGATAGCGGCTGCGCGAATGAATTAAATTACGGTATACAGTACTGTAGGACGTTACGTACAGTACTGTACAGTACTATCAAATGAGCTACAGTACATTGCACTGTAAAGGACAGTCAACGCACGATTCTTCTCAGTTGAACTCTTGGAAGTATCGCATGCACTAGAAGTCTAGAATAAAGTATTCCATAGGAAAGGTAGTAGAGAGAAATTGGAAATACTAGATACATAATCACTGAGAAATTTCAAAGCTGGCGTTTATTGGTGTATCATTTTATAATTTATCCACCAGTCCCATTTGGCCGTTAGTTGTAAGCGTGTAAAATGTCAAAGTTGTCACTAGTATTGAAGTTACAAGCGAAGAAACGTGGATAAAGAGTTAGCGTACACACCAGTTCATTATTGTTAGCTGCCTTATTCCAAATCAATCTTTTTCGCAGTTTTTTTTCCTCGTCTTTCATCTAGTGTTTGTATATTATCAACTCGGCATTAGATATTAGATTAGTCAATCGTTACTATTCAAGGAGAAAGATATGACTTCACGGCCTCACAATCTCGACGATGTCGCTAAAAGTAATTCTCATGATGACGATGGTAAGTAACCAATTGGTCAAGACATTGATTCATCATTGATGCTAATTTTGTAAGCAGATTGCAAAATCG